ATATTCGTCATTTGCGTCCCAAAATACTTCCCATTCAGTTAAGATCTTAGAGAGGAAAAAGTTCCTCGAGGGCCTGTGTTAATTTATGAGAGCAACACTATATACCCCGATACTTTTTAATAAATAGCTGTTTAACCGCGACTTCGTCCGCGTAATTTATAGCCATCATGGTGTAGCTTTCCGTGGGAAGGAACAAAAAATTTTCGCTCTTTATAATATTAGTTGACAACCAATGCGTTAACGATATAGCATTGGCGTAGACCACACCATGATTAAAAACTAAAATCAGAATTCAGAATCATAGTTCAAGTTATCTTCTTGTTCAGGTATGCGTCAATACCATTATAAATCCTGCCATTTAATACTCTTTTAACTTTCAAGACCTGCAAAAAATAGAGATGCTATGCCCTGCCTGACCATACCAACAATGTAGCCGAGTAGAACGCGACCTTACAACACCTTGGAGAAAGTTAAGTGTACTGTCGCCAGCACGTCAAGTAATCCAAAACAGGCTCCACAAACAATTTTAAGCTGTAATACAAAGGTGGCGAGTACAACATTGATTTTAACTTAACATGGAAACCTGATGAACTGCTGTCTATACAAATGCTCGCTTTCCAAACGCACGCCCTGCTGCGTGTATTGAAAATAAAAATAGCAAATAACCACTTTCCAAATAAATCTAGGAAGCGTTTTGTTTCTTTTAGACATTGTATTTAGTTATTCAAGAAAACAAATATCCCATCAAAAACATAACATATACAAAAATGCGCAAGTCTCACAACGCAATTTTTCTGCCGTAAAAAGTTATGAAATCAACGTAAACCAAGTCGATTAATTTAGTACCTATCTTTCTGCGAGAGCAATTATTAGATTTAGGAATACTTAACTCGTTATGTAATGCCATCTTGGTCACTGAAAATTTAAGCTTGTAGTTTACTCCACAACGACGTGGATCACAGGGGGTCAAAAATGGCCCGAACAGATTCGAGAAAAGGATGATACAACTATGGTCCTTTTACTTTTTTGCTCAACTTGGCGCGCTTAACAGATAACAAACGCATATTCAATATAGACTTCAGTTAACATTATTAAAAGTAATTTATTTAAAGAAACCTTTATTATTTTACCTATTCATTAATTAAAAATCCCCGACTCTCTTACAACGTGGGTGAAATACAAACAAACCCATTTTCCCATTTGTCATATTATGTATGTATTAGTATGGATGCATTGAAAGACCAAGAGTAAAGTTCACATTACAAATTGAGTTTGTCATTCGTATTTTAAGATTTTTTTTACTATTTTTCCGCAACTTGCAATAAAATGATTCACGTGAAAATCCACTAAAGATGTTGAAAATCCAGTAACTTTGATTTATTTCAGTGTCGTATTGATGACTTTTATACTATCATGAGAGACTTCAAAGACGTGAACCCGCGGTCATCTGATTATTCGAACAGAAAAACAAGAAATACTTATCGTCTCAATATGAGCAATTTTATAATTTTATTCGTGTTATAACTTATAGATAATTGTCAAGTATGAGTTCATCTCTAAAATGAATTTATGATCATTCTTACTTTTGTTTTTCTTTTCTTTGTAGATGAAAGTAGCTCGTGGTCGTAGTTGATAAGAGCCGCGCCCCGCGAACGTTGTTGTCAAGCAACTTTCGCAAGGATCGGTCATGGGATGGGGATCAAAAAATTTTTAATTCGTCCCGGGTGCATTTGCAGTCGTAATACCCTTGTAAGAAGCAAAACTATCAACGCTTAACAATGGAAATGTAATAAACTTGGTAACTGCCCGGAAAAAGATAATAAACTAAGATTTGGTTCGCGCAAAATGTGGTAAAAAGGTCAGTCATTCGAATACGACCTTCGTTAGTTAGTCATTTAATGTCAGCCAGCCAGTTGTTCAGAATTAATCAGTCCCGTGTGCGTAGGTACCTTCTTACTAACTTTGTAAGACTAGTGAGGTGATAGGTACTTCGCTCAGACAGCTCCAGTGGAACTTTGTGAAACAGCAGCTCATCAAGCCAAAATTTATAATTTCAAATATGAACTTTACTTCCAACCAATAAGGTTTAAATTCAATTGATGACCTGCTTAGCTGTAGTTCGAACGCCGTTACCTAGATGCCGCTACCTCTGATGTCCTGGGTTCGTTTGTCGGTCGGGTCAATATAGAATATATGAACTTTTACATATTGTCAGGGTATATTCGTTACCTCAGATGCTCCATAAAACAAGGGTCTTGACTCTTCGAATCTAAGCAATAAATAAATTTATTATTGAAAAAAATTGCCAAAAAATATAAATAAAATTAGAACAAAAACAACTTTGTATAAACTGACGAGTCGATGACAAGAGTACCTTCTCTTATGTAAAAATGAAATTAATATTGTATAAAGTCGTGCGTTTTAAACATATTAAACCATGTGGACATTTTTTTTATATATAAATTTATGAACTGTTGAGACAATGTTCTGTGACTTCCGCGAAAAGAAAATCTATTATCCTCTTTGCTTAAAAAAATCAGACCTCGACAAAAGATTTGAATGTAGCCCGCAGTGCTAGCGGAAAATTGCGAAGAGGCGCGTTTCCTTCGAAGCCAAGGTTAGAGCGATTACGAGAAATCAACCAAGTATTGACCAACGTTTGGTTCTGTAGAAAAAATGTATTGTTTGGTACACTGAACGTTACAAAAAGGCATAAACATTTGTTGTGTTGAAATTGCAATGCGTTTGTTACTTACTAACTTTATTATAAAGAAATAAAGTTTCTAAATTTGTTCTTCAGAAATACTGATCTGATTATGAAAATACAACGGGAATATCTAATTATGAAAAGAAATACGGGAAGCTACAACCAGGCCCGTCTTAAGCACAACAAACTTATAATATTTCTGTTACTATAGTATACTACCATATCTTGGGCCTAAACAAACCAAATGATTATATGTTAGATAAGTTGGATTACAAGTAATAATAATATTTATCTGGCTTTTTCAACCATAAGCCAAAATACTTAATAAAATTAACAATTACAGGCAATCAATCTTTTAGCAGTAAGTATCCTGCCTAAGGTAATAGTTATTTATTTGATATTCATGCATGTTCAGTTAATTATATGATTATATGTATAATATATGATATATTTATTGATTCATAGGTACTATCTTTTTTGTTCATATTGTGATAGAAATGTGATAAAACTCCATTTTTTTACCACATTGAAATTGTTTTTTATTATCCGAGTGCAAGTAGTGCTCTGGCGCCCCCCAGCCCACTTTTTACACATATTTATATTAGACCATCATCGGCGCGGCGCCTACCCAACGCGCGGCGCTCGGGTGCATTGCACCACCGGCACCATGGGTAAAGACGGGCCTGGCTACAACAAACACGGGTGATATAGGTTATAATAAGTATGTGGGGGCGAAGTCACGCGAATACTGCTAGTACGTAAATAATTACAGCATCTACTCAATTCAAAATGCTAGTTGTAAATCGATAAGTTAATTTTATTCGATATATTTTTTATTGCCTTTAATTATTCTTAATTGATTTCCACAGCTAATGAAGATATATGATAATTTTATCAAAAAATCAAAATTATCATATATTTAACATCTTTAAGTAAAAATATTATAAGACTAAAATATTTAAAATGAAACATTACGAACTTTAATAGCATTTTATTGGTAAAATATACCATAGAAAAGTCAAAATACAAATTATACTAAAGCCTTAAATATAAATAAATACTACAAATACACATCCACATTACACAACCTTAGGTACATAAACACTCTGGTTTGGATCTTAGATAAATGTAAAGGATGTCTCAGCAAGAGTGCTTTTAAAACTTTGAAATTTTTTTTTTCCTGCAAGCGGAACCTCTGAAATTTGACAGCTGAAATGTTCATTCCGATTATTTAAAAAATGGAACGTTTTTCGTAAGTAATTGCTATTTGCTGGATATTTTATTCCTTATTAATCGCAACCGGAATTCAATAATAAAATCACAACTCTCTTATATAATATGTGTTTTTATTTTAAAATTAAAAAGTACATTCTTACCGAGACACCCCTTATTAAAACAGACTGCAAACATTTTTATTTTATAAATTTTATTAGATTGCCAAATCACTGGGAAATAGTAGAAGCATTTAATAGAACTAACAAAATACGAAATAGTAATGACAAAGTTTTTTCAGATGTAGGTATCTCTCATCGAGAAAGGCCAATAAAACTATTATTTATTTTAGTCGACTTCAAAATTTAAAAGGAGGAGGTTCTATGTTTAAAAAATACGAGCTTAATTAAGTACTTAGTTTATTAAATAAAAAAACATCATCAGTTCCTCCTCTACACAATTTTATAAGAGACACTGATTTGTAATACCTCAATATAATTTGTTTGGCCACCCATCCTTCGGCGGGCCCTTGTTATTAAACGCTTCAAATTGTAAAAAAAATACACTAACACTTGGCAAGACTTCAATGGTTATTTCAACCACATAATAGAGTGTCATGAACTCACATCACCATCATCATCACCAGTCTATTATTGTCCCCTTTGCTCGTAAGGCCTTGTCTATGGATGGAATCGAATCGATTAGGGAGAATGGGCGTTAACCCACCATTCGGGCCCAGTGCGGATTGGTGGATATTAACAACTGCAAATGCAGCCGGGATTAACGGCTTAACGTGCCTTCCGAAGCACGGAGAAGTTCGAGATAATAAATTTTTGGTCACCCATCCTATGACGACCCATTGCAAAAGTTGCTCAACAACCGTACCGCAGAACGAGCGCGAGCCACTGCGCCATCGAGCTCCTCCAGCACGCGTAGCATGACAAACTCGAGAAACGCTTTGTCTACACTGCACGCGTAGCATGACAAACTCGAGAAACGCTTTGTCTACACTCATTTGTCAGTTTCTCGGGTCGAGAGTGAGATATAGTATGGGCGCACCCGAGAAAAGTGACATTTGAGTGTAGACAAAACGTTCTCGAGTTCGTCATGCTACGCGTGCTGAACTCACAATTTGTCAATTTATTATTGACTTTTGATATCACACTTTTCATGATGTTTTTTTACCATTTTCGACTTAAAATAGATTTTGAGTTTTTCGTCAAACTCTAATTGGCTTAAACACTATCAGATGATGTGAAAATCTGATCTTATATAGTAGAAGTGGAGCTTAGAATTACTATTGCTATGGTGAAGTCAATATTTAGGCAGTGTCGGTGCCGGCGCTGTAGGAGATAAAAGGGAGTCGTCAGGAGCTGAGAAGGTGGCTTCCCTGATGCTGCTAGAGTTCCTGATGGAAGCCCGCCGTCTTTTAGTGATTGCGTGAGCCAGAAAAAACGTGCAGAATATACCGGAGCTCTGAAAACAAGATTCATTGTAAACATTGGATAGAAATACAAGCCCAAATTAAATTAACGGTAAAAATCGCCCCAATTTTATATCTTTTAAGTTTGTGTACTAAGGTACGACGTATCCGTAAAGGATAATTGCGTTGATCGTCCTATGTTAAACGTTTGTCATTCAAGAACCTCTTTTTACTCAGGATCACTCAACATCAGATAGTGTATGCAAGAGTATTATACCCTATTGATACCCTATAAGTAGATATAAGCAAACGAAAGTTAAAAACCATTGTTGATACATAGTCAACATAAAAAGAAATTTATATACTTAAGTAGGACAGAATCCAAAGAGGGCAGGTATACCAAAAATAACAAGACATAATGTCCGAATAATTATGTGGTTGATAATGAGAATTTATGAGTCAGGAGTACTTTACGGAAAGTTTTTTAATAACCGTAATGTTTTGCAAGTAGTTCATTAAAAATATGTTTGCTTTGATGTCGTGTCGTTTTGTCTTTACGCGTAACAATCTGGAAAATGATCTCAAATTGATCGTGTCCAAGTACCAAGCTAAAGCAAGAAGCTCACAGTCTTATAAAGATGTTAACTTATAAGAACGCTTTACTAACAGAAATAAAATCCAAAATCGTTGTATGATGGCGTATTATTCAGGTCTTTATGAGTTTGTAAACACGTGCGTTAAATTTTTTACTATATTTCTCTCAAACTAGACATAGCATTGCAATAATTCCTTTTCTCTTGTACAAGTAATAAAAGTTACTTGCAAGACAATGGCTATCAAATTTAACAAAAATGTAATAAGCTCACGACCCGTTCTTTCACCATCGTCATCGTGTAAGTAGTGCCGAAGTATTGATTACGTAAGAAAAAATACCTAACAAGTTATATACTAAATTAAGTTGTCCAGCTGGGTGAGCGGCGCCATAATACCGGCCGAATCAATTAAGATCTCTAGCACTCCCTCAGCACTTGACTTCCTTAGTTAACGAAAGTAATAAATGACTATCGTATGTTGTTAAAGTAATGATGAGAAACAACAAATGACTGTAGCGAATAAAGTTCGAATCATCCAGTTGCACAAACCTCCATTAAGGTTTAAAGACTATTTTAAACACTAATTAATGTTAGTTTAAACTGACTGAATAAATCGCCTTTTTATAAAACGAGGAGAAAAGTTGGAACTTCGTTTAAATCATTTTCCGGTAAAAGCAAATTGACAATGACAGGAGAGAAAACATCATATTGTGAGGCATTATCTTATATTGGTCGGACCATGGTTTAAAACTGGTACTAAAGTTAGTCCTTATATAATAATAAGACGGATAATTATTAAATTGTTTTCAGCAGTTCTGCCCCATAAGTTCAAGTTCTAATTGGTCTGTGAAAATGGAGTACATTGCTGCAAACGTTATACGTAGTTATTTGTAATGTAACTCCTTACTAATGAGTAATGTTTATCGGACGGCGTCTAATACGCAGTTCCAGACAAAGTCTTAGTTCTAGCAATACATTTTGTTAATATTTATGAGACTGCGGCGTTTTATAAAAGGCTTTAATACACTGTTGAACAATCAAGAGATTTGTTGTTTGACTCTGTACAAGGGGTCTCTATTCAAACAATAGTTTATTATGATTCTTACTACACTCTTATCAGTACTTATGAAACATATTAAACTCCAAAATTTATCGGATGAATATATGTCATTATTTTTACGAGCAGCGTTGAGTACTGTGACAGAAGGAACAATCGAAGCTATAGTTTTTATTGATGTATAAAAATAATAAAGGAGCTAAGACATAGAGCTCCGTGGAGCACTATTTGAAGATATGGAATCTTCTCCTGCTTCTTTCAGCTGTGAAGAAAATGAGAAAAACTAATAAGTATAGTCATATTTTAAGAAATGCGTATATATATTTTAAATATATATATCAAGGAGATGCTCTAAAGGTACCCTAGAGTCATTTTACGTTTGAATATGAAATTGGTCTTGACATGAGATCAAAATAACCTAATATATAATAGTGCGATATAAAAAAAATAACTTAAAAACGGTTACAGCAGCAAAAATTATATTTTTAGATTTTTACTTGTGGAACAAACTATGTACGGAGATTGGGCCGTCTCCTTTACAATAGGGATGACGACTGGGTAAAAAAAAATGCAATTCTATTTAGTCCGTCAGTCAGAAAATAGAAAAATACTAAATACGTATTTTTTTTACTTCAATTTAACAAGAAATAGCTTACATAACAGGCAATAAAGTTAAGGAGCGGGGGCTCGCTACGTCACAGTTGAGTAGAAAACGTACCCTAACGTGACATCATGCGAAATTTCAATTCCATGTATCGCCGTTATTTTATGATTACGAAAAAAATACGTGTTTAATATTTTTTAACACTCTACCTGACGGACAAACAAACAAAAATTAGTCGTCATCCCTAGTCACATCACGTTATCGCACAAAAGATGGTGATTTTAGGTTAGTCATACACTGACGTTTGTTAGCATACAAAACAGGATGACAATGATTTTCCAGCACCGGGAAATACCTCTACATTATGACAAACATTGATACTACTAGTGAATTCAATCGAAAATCAACAGGTTTTTAATATCCTAAAAAAATAAATAACACTTCTTAAATATCATGAGCATCAAAGGTGTTATTATTTATTTTTGGTTACTAGCGAGCGTCTGTCTTTACGTTAGGTTTCCCTTTCAAAGCCGCGAAAACGTCCACTGGTTGTAAAATAATAATGACCAAGGAGAAATCCTTTGTTGCCATTGGTTCTAACAATATACTCTATGTACCAGTAAAGGCATTAGTAGCACTACGGTAAATAAAACTACCATTTCCTACCGAGCTATCCAATAGCACCACGGGAAGTATTTTTTTACCATTATAATGTGGTTGCCATTTTAATATTATTTTAGTGCTTAAGTTTATTGTTAATGAAGGTTGTGACGTCATTAAGCCTTGCATCGCAAGCGTTCGTCATACTGCGGTCACGCTCACTCACTTATGGCACGCAAGTTACATTTTTTGTACAACATGAATCACTTGACTATGTGTCGAAGTTGTTATTCTACAAGGTTATCTGTAAATTGCTGAAAATGACTTTGCTTTGGCTTTATGCATGACATTGGAGTCAAACAAAATATATAGGAATCGCTTTAAGTGAAAATGCATTTTACCTATGACTAGGAACAACCTAACGAAATTAAGCAGTGTCTAAAGTAATAACATTCATTATGCGGCGCCTTGCGCTAGGCATTTGCGTAATATATCAGGCCACAAATTAAGGAATCAAAGAAAAAATGTTTATTAGGAATTAAACTAATCTGCTTGGGCGATTCATAAAAGTAAGCATTTACTAGTTAAGCTATGCATTGTTCTAGGTTAGTAAAAACGGGCATCAAAGTTCAATTGTGATCCAATTGAACCTTAAAAGCATTTTGTTTGAATGCAAAACGAAAGCAGTTAGCCCTTGTGGAGACTGTTCTACTAATTAAAAATAAAATAAAATAAAATTATTATGCAGTTAACCCTTGTGGAAACTGTTCTACTAATTAAGTTTGCAATATTCTGTAAAAGAAACTTTTCAAATGTTTATTTTTACAGTACCTTTCAGTTTCAATTCAGCATATTCAGCTCAATCAAAAACCAGGGGTATTCACGATTACGATATTTCATTTCATGTTACTACTTTGAAATCTACTTTAATTAATTACAAACAAACGAAACATAAATAATGATGACTTTGGATTGAGAGCAGCGTTACCAACTTACTCGTTTATCTACCGAAAAACCCACAAAAGACATGTCAAAGTAGTAACATGAAATGATATCGTCTTACGTAATATCGCTAAGATGTCGTATCCTATGTCTACGACTATGAGATTTAGGCGCTCGCACCCCTGGAGGTGGAACAAATTAAGTTTACAAGTTTTGACCGCCATACTAAATGACGTGGTAAGTTAAATAAAAGCTTTGGTATAAAAATTATGAGAAGATGTAAGAGGAATACAATATATCCGATTAAAATAAACAATATTCACTAAATTCGGGACATATAAGCAGCACTTCCTGGCTTTACCTACTTATCTGTAACCTATTTAATACATCAAGGTCAGACATATCATTTATATGTACATACAAGAGTACACCACCGAGAAAATATCCACCATGGTGAACACACAGCAGAATCAAATAGTGAAAGATTTGAAAAAAAAACAAAATACCAATCTTGGCCTAGGCCTGGACTACAACCTGTGTTTTAATCGAATATAAATTAACAATTTGTGTCCAACTGTGGTTATTATACATATATGATTAGTAGTAGGCTTGCCAAGATTACGACGACATGCAAACTCAACAGAGGCACTTAGTTACAGAGGTTTAATCTTCAAATACCTACGATAAATCATATTATGAGAAATAACATTGAAGTATAGTAGCAAATGTAAAAACATAATTTATCACATTTCAACATTGAGATAACCTCCGCGAACCGACATATCAAACAACATTGATCAGCATCCATTGCGGATGAAGGTAAATCTATATTAATATTATAAAGACGGAAGATTTGACTATTTTTCGTTTTATTAAAAGACTCTGAAACTAATGAACCGATTTGAAAAATTGAAACTACTTTCATCTTTAAGCATACTATTCTGTCAAAAGTATACCTTCGAAGACTTAGTTAAAAGTTCAATCAAATAAAACCTACTTAAAAAGGCTATTAAGGTCTTATTTTATTGAACCTCTAATGCTGCGACAGCGCTCTATTCCACTTTTTATTATATACAGCAAAGCTAAACTGGTCCTTTGAATTTCCTCGACTAATCTTAGATTTTATAAAATAAGTAGATCTAACACTAGTCGACTAATTTTAAATGTATTTATATCAAATTTTCGGCGACTTCACATGCAATATTTTTTATAATCATTCCAGAAGCTTCCGAGTCTATTCAATGCAAACAAATGAAT